ACTACTACTACTTAAATGTCTTTGTGTTGAAAAAATTGATATTAGACATATGAAGGTAAATCACATTACAAACTGACTTTTGAGATATATACATTTTGATTATATACATGTAAAATATTTTAGATTTGAAGTGTATTTTTGTAATAGAAACGAATTTAAAAACATAGAGGCGCTCTTTTTTGGATTTGGCGTTTCTCGATGTGTCTTTTAACGCCAACCGATTAATCATATGCTATTATTATAGCAGCTAATGGACCGAGTGACGTCATGCCACCAAGGTGGCAACCAAAGTGACTGCTGATTGAAATGCAGACAGTTATTTGAATACTACGTTAGTAATAGTAGTAGTAGTAGTAGTAGTAGTAGTAGTAGTAGTAGTAGTACTAACGCAGTATTCAAATAACTGGTCTCTGTTAAGCTCAGGAGATTATTTGCACGCTATTAAAATTTTGTCCATTTGTTCGATCTAATCTCTGGAATGGTTGAACAGACAGACAACAGATAGAGAGCAATGCAAATAATATTTTAGCTGGAAAATAGAAGATTTTTTTTGGAAAAATGCAAAATTTATCAAATAAATCGATGCACCCGAGCAAAAAGTCGGTAATCGTAAAATTTAAATTTTTGCAGCAAATATGATTTAATGTGTTTGTGTAAGGTCAGGTAGGAAAAGACAAAAAACTGAGCTTTTTTCAGTAATAATCAATATTAGATTTTCTAAGTATTCGCCTAATACTAGTAAACTTTTTGAGAGTAACTAAAGTGTTATTTCAAAGTTTATGGTAAAAATAATAATAATTAAATTAATATGAAACTAATTAGTTTCATATTAATTTATTTTATATAATTTAAATAGGCGTACTGAGAAATATTTCAATTTCAAAAAATCACTAATTGTTATGATATCAAATGAGGGGGGGGGGGGGATTTTTAAATAAACTTCAAAAGATAATAGTCCTAATTTAGTTTAGAAACCTTTTGTACACGCCCCTTGCTGCCCTGACAAAGGTCGACCATACACGGGCCCATACAGCTGTAGATTCGACGGAAAACTAAGGGTGGGGCCCAACGGCCTATGGAGACTTATTATTCTACACAATAGATATAAGGCTAGGTAATTAATAAGAAAGTACCTGGTTCCGAAGCTAAGACTGACCCCAAGGCTCGGTCAGGGGGTAGGTAGGTGCATGTAAGTAGTGTGTTAGAAGGTGTGTATGTGTGACCTGACCTAACTGAGGTGATCGGGCAGCGGCCTGGTCCGTTGCTGCCCCACGATGTGGTATCACTCTAGCGGACGTCACCAATTGACCATTTCACTATTTCAGTTTATCCACTTTATTGTACACTGTTTCAATCTATCAACTTTATTGTACATATAATTAACTTCAAAGTCAACCAATTCAACGTTCATCGAAATTAAACACGTGACACCCGACACAAGTAACGAAAAGTCGTTCAAAGTTCAATATTCAATGTTCCGGGTTCATTTAGCACCAAATTATAAACAGGGAACGAACGGGATCTCTTCTCGAGTGACAAAGTTCAGCGTTCCAAGCAACAAAATAATTCCTTCGTACGATATTAAATACTATGCCCGCAATAAGAACTCAAAATCAGCCTAGCTGACACGCAAACTAACTACATAGTCAACACACAAAAGGCACTTAACGCGACGGTATAGTTCAACAATAACTTCCAAAAACAATTAACCGGGCCACGCCCTCGAAATGGAATGCGAGCATCAAATTCCAGACCGTATGTCGACTCTGCGTGCGCGCAAGGTTCCACGTCACACCAGAAAGTTAAATATTGCAAAATGCACTTCAACATGCAATCACTATACAATTGACATAATAACTTGCAAACGAAATTACTTTAATCAGTCAAATTCAATACAAGCCTCTTGTCACGAAACGTACAACTTAGACAAACTAATTCGAGGCGGTCTACACGAAACCCAAATTCAATAGTAAATTAAACGCGCACAAATACTCAAATTCTAGACTACTAAATTAATAAAATATGAGCTCACTCCCTGTTTATAAAACAAACAAGATCTTTATGCAAAGCTTTTTCGAATGGGCTGGTGGTAATGTTATGCTTGTGTCAACGTTCTACAAATTTATGAGTACGCTTCTTTCGTCTTCTTCGTCAAACATTTATCAACACAAACTCCACCTTTTCATTTAATTCTGAAACTACATATCTTCAAAATTTTTTTGCAAAAAAGTGTATTTTATTGTAAAGGTGAAACAATGACGCCTATAAGATCAGAATCACCATCGAATTATGTTGACATTATTGGATGATCTTTATCATATCGCCAATAATCATGATGGATAATGCACACTGTTATTCTTATTACAAAATTCATCACAACCTATCTAAAGTCTGAACTTAGGGATATTTGCGATAGTTTTCAAGCATGGCAGGGGCAATCCGCCTGTAGTTTTTTATATTATTTTGTGTTGTCATCAGAAAGATGCCGCTCCCCCTCTCCCGTTTCATTTTCCTCTATCGCCTCTTATACAAAATCGATGAGATATATAATTAGTAGGGAATTCAAAATAATATTGTAGATTTTTTAAGGAGTGAGTATAAATAACATTATTATTTCGCCCTCATTTTGGTGTTTGCCCAATTTCGAAAAACCCACACAAGGTAAAAATGTGACAAAAATGTACTTTTCATTTTATTATTACGAATTTTCACGCCATACTGATGGATATTGCAACCATCACAGTATGGGGTGGAAATACGTAAGATCACTTAAAAGATACTATTTTAATTTTGATTAAAATAGTAAAATTATACATGGATACTTTCCGTAGAAGTAGAATTTATCCTTCTTACGTACCCACATTAAAATGTAATATATTCAAAACTACTCACAAATCCAAAATTGCAACTGTACCCTCTCTGTCAGCTAAAACCACTTCTTTTCAGCCAAAATTTTTCTTTATTTTTAAATAGTACCTATATATTTTTCTAGAGATACATTTATTGTACGTTCAGCCTGGTCAAACCAATACATCATGTATAAAGCATCCTTATTGGTTTGAAAAATGAACAGTTATTTTGTATGTATAACTGTTTCATATTGGCGTGTTTATGGCTATCGGAAAATCTAAGTAAACTTGTTGAACCAACTAAACAATTTATAAACGATACATTTTTGAGATATTCAGAGCATCTGAACAGTATTTTCGGTTGGAACTATTTCTCTATATCTGCGGGGTATAGGTGCGCGCGTAAAAGGACAGAGTTGATGTGCAGAATCGATACTGCGGGAAGTCTGCAGTCTGAGAACACGTGCAGGATGACCCCCGTCACTACATCAGATTTGATAAACCACAAATCCTCGCTACAGAACACCAATTCCTTCCAAGGATGATTCGCGAAGCTATTGAAATTAAAAAAAAATCCTAATTTCAATGGAGAAGATTACACTTAGCTGGGCGTTACCATCTGCTTGGGATCCTATAATAATTAAAATTAAATCTCCACCCAAGCTTATAACTGCAAGATTTCAAGATATTTAAAATTCATACTGCGTAGATAGGACCAAAAATTAATATTTTTAATCTGAAGATAGCTGTGGTTAACTATGACATTGGGACGTCGAACACTTCAGTCTCTCCCGTGATTATGGGTGATGTAAAGTGCTTGAAACATAGGAAATATAAAAATAAGTTAATGCAAGCGATAAAATCAGTAAAAACTAGTTTTATTTAAACTTCGTTATTATTTGTTTACGCCAAAACTGCTGTACCAAATCAAACACATAAAATGTTTTTGTCTTATTACGTAACGATTCGAAAAGTTTTAGTTATTAACAAGTTTGTGAATTTCCATACAATAAAAACAAGGGTTAGTAAAACAATGGTTTCCTTCAAATCTAGGGAAATAAAGTAATACCCTGTGCCGAGACATCATGGGGTGGATAGGGCCCAGTGATCAGTCTCTGCATAAGATATTTCCACAGCGGCGATGTATTTCTGTCCGCTACGGTCCTCAGAATGCTGTTGTGACTGGATCAATAATAACAATAAAAGTGTTATCTATTATAACACCTTAAACAAAGCTAGATACAAATCTGAAAAGAATTACCAATGTGTATTCCAATCCATATATACCCATATAACTGAAAACCAGTTTTTTTGCTTGAGTTCGTTGCAATGGTCTTTAATTATCTAAAATCTCATTAACGCACCATTAATAGATCCTATCCAAGCAAAGCCGGGGTGGGTCGCTAGTATATGAATAAAGCTGCAGCGAAAATATAATGAATAAGCAAAACCTTTAAAATTGTTTTTTATAATCAATTTTATTAATTTAACAGTGTGATCAAGTTTAATCTTCATTATCATTTATCTTCATAGGATTAACGAAAAGTTTAAAACTCGCTAAATGCAATTTATCATTATCGATACGTGATATAATTAATCTCTACGTGGATGTTTTTAGGTTAAACTATACAATAAAATTAAATATGTTAATAAAGAATTTCTACATCTTCTGCTTTAGTTCGTAAACAGTTCAATATTGGACTCCACCCCTCCCATAAAAGAGATGAAACACTATAATCTGTCACATCGGGCAAACGCTAGGTAATTATTGTGCCTAATATCAGAAACCATAGTGTATTTTCAGTGGCAGTTGTATTTTTAGATATCCATGAGATGCGATAGACTGATTTATTTTGTTACATCGGAATAATAATATTGTGTTTGTTCTTCATTTACTCAGGGGTGACAACGCATCTGCATTTTAATTCTTAATCAAGTATAATTATACATGTCTATGGGCCACATCATTCACTTTCCATCAGGTGTACTGTGTGCTCGTTTGTCACCCATAAGAGTATATAATAATCTATAAAAAACACGGTATGTTATTGTGATTTATGTGAAACAAATGTTTCCGAAGACACAATATTGTTCTTTGTACATCTTCATGTAGATTATACATAAAACCAAAGAATGTACTATTAACTGTATCTATCTCCTAAATCTATTCGAAAAGGGGTTTGAATAAATATTGTTAACTCGAGGTATAGTTATGGTTATTGTTGGTTCAATGTTTTCAAATAATGATGCATTTTGTTCTAGACCTCTGAGCTTACCAAAGTGATAAGCAGAAATACAAATTATTGAAATTAATACAAAAGAACCAGCAGCAATAATAGTTATAGTCGCCGGGTTCCAAAAATTAGTACTTGTTGGTAAGTCAGGCGGCTCGGTAATATATCCCGAATCCTCTGGTATTGTAGTATTTGAATCATTTTCGTCAATGCTTCCAGATCCTTCGATATCAATGTCTTCATCACCACTACCAAACTCGACTATATCAATAACATCTGTATGTAAGCTTATTTCCTTTTGTTTATTACTGTTGTAGTTAGTTTTGTTTATCGTGTATCTAAATGAATCCAATATAACAATTTCATTACTATGACAATATCCAAGAAGGTTGATCTGAAAGCAAGAGGACATATAAAAAAATTAAGAGTTATGTGTATGATATTTATTTAAGTTGATATTATGATTAATTTTAACAAAGAAATACTAATAGGTAATTATATAAAAACTTACATATCCTTTTAAATTTACGTGGATTGGAATTAATAGTGTATTCCATCCTAATAAAAAGTTTTCACTAGATTTATTGTAAACGTACTTCACTACAGGAACTCCAACTTCATCAAATACCGTTGCAGTCAATCCACTTTCAAAAGCTTTCACCTTAAGGTACACTGTTAGTTCTAAAATGCTATCCGAGAAGAAAATTATGGGAAATGATGAAGTGCAACTATTGTTAATTGCTCTTATCCCGACAGGACTGCCTATATTTGATGACGGTATTTTTAAATGTTCGTAACTTATCAAATTCCATCCTTTTTTGTTTTGGCACGTTTTATTGTCAAAGGTCCAATTAAAATCTTCATCAAAAGTGTAAGCTACACCTATTATTTCTTGTGATAGCACTGATGTTATTATAGTTGTCAACACCACTAGATTTAACATTTCATGTTTCAAGTAACTATCATGACGGAGGTACAAGATAAACTATGTTTGATAAATATGGAGTCACAGAAAATGCATTAAATAATAATTTACGATCGTGATAATACTTGATCCGCTTTTTTGCAACTAAGTCGTTTAATTATACGTACATACATAAATCTAATCAGTATAAAATTAATATAATCTACTATCGATATCTGAAAGGAAAATGTTAACTAAAATTATATGCATTACCCTCTAAATATAACTTAGTTAGTTTTTACATTTTAAAGATAATCGAGTTAACAGTCCACAAATAAATCTGTAAATAACTATTTAAAATCCTTCAATTAATCCAAAAAAAAAAATACATATTTGAGCGTGATGGAATGCATAAGCCTAGCCAGCTTCCGCGAGTACTACTGAAATTATGAAGGAAAACATCGTAAGGTAACCTGCAAGTCTAATATAAAAAAAATCTTACGAGGATATGTGAAGTGTGCCAACATGCAGCATTTGGGGCAGCGCAACGGACTCTTTCGTGCCCTTAACTCCCTCAGTAATCAGGAAAAGACTGTGCAGACGTATGCCGTTACGTTTATATATGTGGTAGAGCCATGCTGCAGCTATATTAGTAGTATAGTTGTAGCACGAATGGGTTGGCTCGACCGGGGAAGGACCACGCTCTCACAGAATACCAGCGTAAAATAGCAGCTTAACACTGCTGTGTTTCGTATGGTGAGTGTAGAGAACCGGAGACCATGGAAAAGAGGCATTTCATCTTAGTCCTCACGGGTGACAACGCATCTGCATTTTCATTCTTTATTGAGGATGGGTGTTGATGTCTATGGGTCACAGAAACCACTTACCATCAGGTGGACTGTGTGCTCGTTTGTCACCCTATCCTATATAAAATGTATCAATTGGTAAATTTAATGGCAAGTAAGTAATATATTATAACTTTTAAACTGTATAGATACATTATGTAATGCTGAGTTTTTTGGGCGAAATAGTTCCGTCTCAACTTTGGAGCAACGTAGTTAGGATTTTTTTTTTTATATCAGTGAGTTGTTTAACTAGTATATTGCCCAACTAGCAAGCGACTACCACGACATCTAGATGCTTAAATCCGTTGATATAGATACAGCCAGCGTTCTAGTTTATGCAACATAACAGCTGCACCCAATTCCACGTAAAAGAGGGCCGTAGATGCGGTGTCAACTTTGAGTACTAAGATGAAATGTTTCAGAAACTGAAGTTACATTGGCTCACTCAGACTGTAAACTGCTAGTATTCATATCAATCTAAAAAATTCTAATCTTTGTTACATCTTACTAACATTCTTTTTATCAGTTGTGTATATGAGACAGCGCTTCTATAAGTATCTTAATTTCTTCTCCGATAAAACATTTTAGCGTTATCACCTTTAAATACATGCAGATTAATATTAAATGCATCTTTTAGCAGTAAGTGAATGGGCATGTCAAAAGAGGTTAGATATTTTTTATTAGTAATTAGATAATAGTAGTAGTAATTAGGTAATTTAGAAATAAATTGTTATTACGCTTTATTTCAGTAGTTTTTATTTGAAAAAATTATTGGCATGCCAAAAGAGGTAAGATATTCTTTATTCAATTGTTTAACACTGGCAAGCTATACATAATTATAGGCTGGTAATTTACAAATAAATTTTTATTACGCTTTATTTCAGTAGTTTTTAATTGCAAAAATGATTGGCATACCAAAAGAGGTAAGATATTCTTTATTCAATTGTTTAACACTGGCAAGCGATACATAATTATAGGCTGGTAATTTACAAATAAATTTTTATTACGCTTTGTTTCAGTAGTTTTTATTTGAAAAAAATGATTGGCATGCCAAAAGAGGTAAGATATTCTTTATTCAATTGTTTAACACTGGCAAGCTATACATAATTATAGGCTGGTAATTTACAAATAAATTTTATAACGCATTATTTCAGTTGTTTTTATTTGAAAAAAAAAATGTTTTTTTTCTTGACTGTCGGGAATTCGCTCGCAGCAACGAAGCTCAGTCGACGTGATTTTAATGCTATGGTTTAGTATGACTATAGAAAAGGTCTAGCTTAAGAATGTTCGTACACGAGCAACAGCTATTAATTAGGTTATAGAATCCAGAACAAGAAGAAAGAAGGAAGCTTTGAAAATGAAGCAAAGAGGTCGGCTGTCAACCACGGTTACATAAGAAAACATTTGAGCAGTCCAAAAATCATTACATTTTAGATTAAACACCACCCAAAGGGGTAGCAAAACTACCCAAGCAGGACAAAAGCGTTATGAACATCAATATACCAGCCCTCATAGAACTTAGAGTTCTTTTGAAATCGTATAAGAGTGTTGAAAAGAGGTTGTATCCTTATAAGGGTGGTTTACGAGTTATGTATTATACAACTCAAGCTGTATAAGGTCTGTATTATGGGATCTATGTAAGCTTAGGGATCTTAATCAGAATATGAAATCTCTAGTATACTACTTTAAGTATTTTGTAATACCTCAATCTGATTTTATCATTAAAGTTGTATAGAAGCCGTGTTTTTTCATGCTGTTCTTTGCTTATACTGCGCTAAGTGTTATTATAGTATCACTAAAATCTTATTTCTGAACAATGGTGTATGCAAACTCTCTTCTAAAACTTGTATATAGTATGTTTGCTTCTAGCAAGTAAGTTTTAACTATGTACTGGAATAAATGATCAGAAATAATAAATAATAGGTTTGTTTTATGTAATCAAATAGTTTTTATTAATATAAACCTTCTTAATATAAAACATTTTGGTAATATTTTTTTTTCTACGTTACAAATATTAATGAAAATTATAGTTTTAAAAGTTAAAATCAAAAATTACATTATTTTCCTTAATCTATAATACGTAAACTAAAAACTAAATAACGTTTTATAATCTCTTATCAACATGAAATAAATCACTTTTAATCTTAAGGCTCAAAAATACTAATACGAAACTTTGGTTCAGTCTAGACAATTATCACATAGTGTTTTTGTGCTACCATGGACTTTGCAAATAAATTGTGAACAATTATTGCACTTTGTAGCAAATTTCCCATCTTTTTTTCTATCACATAAGTGACAGCTTCCGCTTATAAAGGCGTTTTGGCTTGGAATAGCAACACTAGACGTCGAGGGTAATGGTGCCATGTTAGCTGCTAAGAAATTATCAATTTTATCACGCAAATCTCTTGGGTACTTCAAATACTCAGCTTTTTTGTTTATGATGTGTTCTTTGATGAGTTCTATACCAACAGATTTTATGTAGTCCTTTCGCTTCATTTTTTTCTCAGTATTTGAACCTTTCCACAACACATAACCGTTTACACAAGCAATATTTAGAATACCAGCAAATACTACACTTCGTGTTCTGCGAGCTACTGAGTAATTAGCGCATTTTTGATTTAAAGAATCCACTCCACCTTTGGTGTAGTTGTAAAACTCTATAATCTCCGGTTTCTTTGTTCGTTCATTAACACTTTTGTCACGATGCATTAAAGAAATCATTATAACGCTTTGATTTTTTTTGGTACAAAAGAACATAGTATTATTCTAGCTGTAAATCCAAAAAGAGAAGAGTCTTTTTCTCTATGCTTATGTGGGTGGAATTCCGTTGGGATATCACGTTTATTTTTTCTCAAAGTCCCGACGTAGGTCAAGTTTTTTTCGAGTAATGCATCAACTAACTCCACCGAGGAAAACCAGTTATCTGCTGTTATGTTTCTGTTTGATCCAAAAAGCGGGGAAGCCAATTTTAGTATGGATTGTGTAGGAATAGATGGTTGAGCTCTGATGTGTTCCTACTGTTTGCCGGTATATATGAAAACGTTATATAAATAGTGAGTCTTAGCATACACAAACATAATATTTTGATACCGTATTTAGCAGGCTTTGATTTCATGTACACCCTGAAAAGACATCGGCCTCGAAATGGACATAACATTTCGTCAATAGTAATATATTCTGAACAACTGTAATTTTTCTGACAGTTTTCTATGAACATATCAAATATTTTAGAAATGAGTGCTGCGCGGTTCACAGCTTTTCGCTCCTCTCTCGATGCAATATCATCAAACCGAAGATTTGACAAAATAAACAAAAATCTCTTCAAAGACATAGTAGCTCTAAAGATGTCACGACCTGTTCCGTCTGTAGCCCACAATGATTCTACGTATTCATGTCCTGATTTGAACACTCCTGTCAACAGCAATAGACCTATAAAAGCTTTCATCTCTGTTACTGACACGTGGTTCATCCAAAATGCATCCGTAGTAGTCTTTTCCGAACTCTCAGTAATCTTCTCGTTTGTGTAGTTGTTTATAATTTGTGTAATGTTATCATCAACTAGCAATGCAAACAATTCTTTGGTACTAATATAACTTTTAGATGCAGCTGAACCAATCAAACTAGGTCTTTGAGCTATAATATTGTGTCGACGAGTACGTGAAGGTGCTGGTGGGCTTTTAGATCACTTGTATTTATTTTTCCCATAGTAGCTGCTGGACTGACTAGACCCTGCAACATTTTCATTTTCACTTTCTAAGGAAGACACTTCCGTATCAGAATCCACGTCTTGATTATCGTTCAACAAATCAAGTGATACTGTATCTTCACAACTCAGATGAAGTAAAAAAAGCTAGATACTGCGCGGCCTTTGTTATTGGTGAAGCCAAAAAACTCCGCTCCTTTAAGTAAACACACGCGTTCACGCACACACATGCATCAAACTACGCTCAATTTCGTCAGTACCTCTCGGGGCGTCGTGCCGTAAATTTGCCTACAAAATGCCGCCATTTGTAATTACATGGTGCAAAAACAATACTAAAGTGAACAAAAAGTCTGAAGGAATATCGTTTCACACATGAGCACTCATTTAAATATATTTAATTTTGTCATTCCAACACAATTTTAAAGGTTATTTGAAGCACAATTCCGAGATTACGTAACGGGAGAATGTTGCCAGTTTTTCTTATTTCTAAT